ATACCTTGGCTCTGGGCATTTCTCTCTTATTATCCTCCATGTCTGCAATGCTATCTATCGTCTACTCTAACTACTGACCTCCCTGGATTCCTTTAAGTCCCAACTAAAATCTCACTTTCTACTTCAAGCTTTCCCCAACCTCTCTTAATTCCAATACCTTCCCTTTGTTGACTATTTCTTATTTATCCTCTATACGACTTGCTTTGTATATATTTGTTAGCATGTTGTCTCCCCCATTAGATTGTAAGCTCCTTGAGGGCAAGAATTATCTTTTGCCTCTTTTTGTATTTCTAGTGCTTAGCACAGTGCCTGGCATACAGTAGGCACTTAATAAATGTTTATTGATTGATTACTAATTGATGCCTGGAATTTACTTTTTCCTCCCCTCCACTTCTTGGAATCTCTTGCCTCCTTCAAAGCTCAATGCAAATGTCACCCCTATCCATGGTACTTTTTTAGATCCCTCCACATCTGCTAATATCTCCCTCACAAAATCAGCCCACATTTACGAAAAGGTTTTGACAAAGAATGTTAATTTATGCCAGAAACTCTACAATGTATAGGCATAATGGGCTTTTTTAATATGGTAGAACATTTCTATCTAAAACCAAAAGTAAGCATCTTATGCAACATGGATATACCACATTCTCCAAGAAATACAGGAGTAAGCAAGAATGTCCATTTTTTCCAGGTATCATTTGATACAACTCTGGAAATGTTAGCAATAGCAAAAGACAAGAAAAGAAATTAAAGACAGAAATATAAGTAAAGAGGAGATAAAACTAACCCTGTTTGCTTATGGCATGATGTTTTATTTAGAAAATCCTAGAGAATCCAAAGATTAAATTGAAACAATAGCTTGGGCAAAATTGCAGATGTCAATAACCCTTCCCCCCCAAATCAGCAGCATTTTTACATAATAAGCACTAAATCCAAAAGGCAATAGAGAAATACTATTCCAAATAACTACAAAATGCACAAAATATTTGGGATCCAATCTATTAAATACAAATCTATTAAAGTTGTATAAATTCAACTACAAAGTGCTCCTTGAACTGGACAAATAGTCAGCACTAATGACTGGGCTGGGCCAATATTACAATAAACATGACAATATCATCAAATCATATTATTAAAGTTAACTTCTGCTTTTAACTATACCTATCAAATTATCAAAGGGGTATATTACGAAACTTAATAAAATAACAAAAATCATTTGGAAAAATAAAAGATCTAGAATATCAAGGGAAATAATGAAAAGAGGCAGGAATAAAGGACGGCTAGCCCTTAAAGACATTAAACTATATTATAAAGCATCAAAACCATCTGCCATTAGTTTAAAAAAGAGACAGAACAATGGAACAGATGAGACAAGGGAGATGCAGAAACAATGGAATTCAATGACCAAGTAAGTGTTTGATAAACCAGAAAACCTAAATTAGGAAAGAATTCTCTATTTGAAAAAAAAAATGTTGGGTGCCCTAGAAAGCAGTTTGGCAGAAATTAGGCTTAGATCATATTAGTTCAAACACCTTACTCCATATTTCATAATACATTCTAAATGGATACATAGCCTTGATATTAAAGATCATATCTTTAAAAAATTAGAAGGGAAGCAGATACCTTCTACAACTATAGGGAAGAGATGTATTCTTGCCTAAACAAGGGATATAGGATAAAAGATAAAATAGAAAACTTTGATTATGTTAAACTAAAAGGCTTCTGAACAAATGAAATTAATGCATCTAACATACAAAAGGAAATAGTCAAAAAATCTTTATATCAAATTTCTCTGATGGGGTATATCTAAAGAGAGATAGATAGAAAAATAGATTTATAAATGATCAAAAGCAATCCCTAATAGATAAGTGGCCAATGATCTGAACAAACAGTTCTCAAAATGAGAACTGCAAACTGAATGAGAGAGATCTAAATCATTAATAATAAGATAGAGATTCAAATCAAATGAACCCTGAAGTTTTACCATACACCCTGCAAGATGGCAAAGATGATAAAAAATTGGTTTGGTTAATGTTGTAAGGGTTATGGGGAAATTGGCACATCAATGCCTTCTTGGTGAAGTTGTGAGTCAGTACCACCATTTTGGAAAGCAAGAATTTGGAATTATAAGGATAAAGTCACTAAAATGTCATACCTTTTGATCCAGAGATTCTACTACTAGGCTTATACCCCAAGGAAGTCACTGATAGGAAGAAAAGTTCCACTATCCACCAAAATATTAATAGCAACACTTTTTGTTTTAGAAGAGAATTGGAAATAAAATAGATGACCATTGATTGAGGAATGGCTAAGCAAACTATGGCACATAAATGTAATGCACTATTACTAAGCTAAGACTCCAAAGAGAAATGTGAAAAGACATTCTCACCCCAGTCCTTTGCAGAGGGGTAGTTTCACAGGTGTAGTACACTGTGCATATTTTCAGACTTTTTCTGATTTGACCATTTTATACTGACCATTTTGCAGATTTTTATTCTCTTTAATTTTTTTTTTCTTGAAAACATTGTCATATTGTTTGTCATATGGCATGACTCTATGGGAGGAGAGAAATTTTATGATGTTAAAAAACAAACAATAAAAAGTCATTTTTAAATTTTACCCTGCATTTGCTTTGTGTATATACTTCTACATGGACAAGTTGCTTCTCCCATTAGAATGTAAGCTCTTTGAGGGAAGGGGTCATTTCACTTCTGCCTTTGTATCCCCAGGACCAGCACAGTGCCTGGCACCTAGTAGGTGCTTACTTAGTAAATGCTTGTTGATAAATTGGTGATTGATTGATTATTTTCTTCTTCACTGCTCTTACTGCCTGACCATAGCTGCACTCATAGAAGGAGCTTTTGGAAAGGGTAAATGCTTCAGTTCTATGATCAGAATCTTCTTAGTTTTAAATACATTGCCTTTTTCTTTAAAATACTGGGAAGGGTCCAGCCACAGGATGCATTAGAGAGAATCAAGCTCCTTCCCTCCCCCTCAGGCATTCCATCAAGCAAATGCTTCAGGCCACCTAAGCCCCCATGCATTTTATTTTCTCTCTTATCCCTTCATGCTGCTCAGGCAAAGCTCCTCACCACTCCCTTCATCTGTTGTTCTCACTCCCACCTCTTCACCTTCTGTTACACTGCTCCTTCTGCCTGAAATGCTCCCCTAGCTCCTGCCTGCCAAATTCTCTCCTTTCCCTCACTAACAATATCACATCCTCCCCTAACTTTCATCATTTCTTAAGAGGAAAGAAAAGTGACAAATTCTCTCTCTCTCTCTTTCTCTGTCTCTGCCTCTCTCTGTCTCTCTTGTCTCCACAGCAATTATTTCCTCAGTTCCTTTTTCTATCCAAGTCTGACTGATCCTCCCTCATCATGTGGGTCCCAACTCTCTATACAGAATGGCCTACCTGTTATTATTTCATAGTCTGTGCTCTTGCTGTGGTTTTCTCCCTTGGCAAGTACAGTTCAGAGCAGATCTACAGATCTATTTGAAGCTTGCTTGGTCAACATTCCTGAGACCTTACTACACTTGTAGATGTTGAAGACTTGGTTCTTAAGCAAGGCCATAATTAGCCATAATTATTACAAATTCAGTTAAGGGGAAGAGGATGCTAATGTTGCAGAGGACAGGGGGGAGGTTATATTGGCAGAGAGGACAGTCCCACCAAAGGAAGAGACAACCTATCCCCTAGACCTTATCACCCTTTGGGAGGTAGGGTTTATGCAGAGAGAGGGAGCCACCATGACAATGTTGTGTCGGGGTTTTGGAGCACTTAGAAAGGAGATGTGGGAGGGGTGGCTAATTCCTTGAGTAGCTTCAAACAATTTCAGTAAGGGATCTTGACTCCCCTTAGCCTTATTTATGTGATCTAATTATGGGAATGTCTTTGATCCAATTAAGAAAGAAGTTTCTATTCACCTTTGACTAGATTGAAAGGGGAGTAACTAAAGAGAGAATAATTGCTTTCAGGGAGATATTTTCTCTAAGCATAAACTGGCATTAACATTATTATCAGCCTTCAGCAAATCAAAAATCCTAAACTATGTTTTTTTTCATTTTACTTTGTTGTGAAACTTTATCTTCTGTTTCACAATACTATTAAGTGAAAGGTGGAAGTCCCTTTTAGTAGACGGAACTCCCCATCTCTCTCCAAGCAGAAAGGCTTGCATGTTAATACAATGTCTCTGACAGATTTTTGGCTAAAACATATGGAGTTTTTCTTCCAAATTAGTGATGGCTCTGTTTTTAAATAATTTTCACTTGTTTGTTCAGCCATCCTAATTTTGTTCCTAGTGAATTTCTCTGGGACTTATCGGTGCAGTGCTCTACATATAGTTACAGGGGCTAACAGTAGCACTTAGCTCACAGAGTTGTTGTTGTAAAATGCTTTGTAACCCTTTATGTACCGTGTACATGTAGGGCATCTGTGACAATGACCAAATCAAGTGGATGACATTTATCTCTTGGCATCAGACAGACTTCACTTAAGACTTCTCCTCAAGCCACCATATTGACTGTGCTCCCAGAGGGCATGGGGCTGTGTCTTGTTCTTTTGTGGGTCTCCCACAGCACCTTGTACATAAATATCTGTCTGCTTGAATACTGCCACCCTTCCCTCCTCTCCATTCAAAGGTCATCTGGAAAGTTCTCCATCTTTTCTGATAAAGGGAAACTAAATGTACAGGAATCATAGATTTAGAACTGAAAGAGACCTCAGAGGTCAAGTTCTACTCTCCCATTTTACAGACAAAGAAAGTGAGGCCCATGGAAGTTAAGTGACTTACCCAATATCTCACAGCTGGTAAGTGTCAGAGGTAGAATCTGAACCCAGCTTCTCTGACCCCAAAGCCTGTGATCTTTCCACATACCACACTGCCTCCTCTTAAATTCATTTTTATATGGGTATAAAAAGCTTGAATTAACTTCTCAAAAATGAACTTTCAACGTTATCTCAATGAAAACATATTCTTTCATAGAGAAATGACAAGACTCACCTTGATTTTTCAATGGTAAAGGCATAGTCTCCCTGAGTTTGCTTAAAAGGTTTTTCATTTCTCGCATGTCTCTGCACGAATGACAAACACATTGATGACAGCATTAGTCAGTGTAAGCTTTAAGTACAAATACTGTTAGATAGTTTTTATTCATTTCCTTTAAGAACCAGCTAGAGCAAAGGTTCTTATTTTTATTTGTGCCACGGACCCCTCTGACAGTCTGGTGATGCCTATGGACTCCTTATCAGAATAATGCTTTTAAATGCATAAAATAAAATACATAAGAAAGTAAATCAATTATATTGAAATATAGTTATCCAATTTTTTTTGAAAACAAGTTCACAGACCCCTGATCAAAAAGCCCTGAGTTAGAGAATGAGGATGTGGGTAACAGTTTTCTTGCCATAAATTTTATTTCATATATCATGTCAAATAAGCATCTGGTTTCAAATGCAATTAATCGGTGATTTGGTGTCAGAAAGAGCTGAGGTCAATTCCTGCTTTGCACACTTTGGACATAGCTGTGTGACCCTGGGCAAGTCACTTAACTTGTTTCAGCCTAATTTTCCTCTTTTAGAAAATGAGGAAAACAATAGCAACTCTATTATGGAATTGTAGTGAGGACTGAATGAGAACATCCATGGAACACTGATGGGCTGTCGGTACTGCTCAGGTCCCAGCGCTGAAGGGAACTTCCCGAGGATGCCACAGAGGGAGTGAAGGATTTCTATCCAACCAACAGTTGTAAGTTACTCCTTTGCCACACGTGCTCTCTAAGCTCATGCCCATTTCCCCCCTGGACACTCTATGTGTTTGTGGGAGTCTGCCCCAGACTTTTTTGGGGAAATTTTTTTAACCAACTTTTCTAACTATTCTACCCTAGCAAATATTGGTTTCTAAGTAGTGAATAATCAGTCAGTGAGGGGTGGGTTGGGGGGGGGAAGGACAGCACATCAGATTAGGGCTATAGTGTTAGAAATCAGTCTTAATCCCTTAGGGTTAACCCTAGAACTCAGAGAGAAGGACCTGTAGGGATATGACCTGCTGGTGCCACTGGGGGTGTCGGAAGGAAGGAAGAAAACAAATATTTATTAAATGCCTACTATATACCAGGCACTCTGCTAAGTGCTTTGCAAATCTTATCTTATTTGATCTTAGCAACAACCCTGGGAGGTGGGTGCTATTATTATCCCCATTTTACAAAAAACTGATGAAACTGAGCAGTCAAAAGTTAAGTGATTTGCCCAGGCTGACACAGCTAATAAATGCCTGAGGTCAGATTTGAACTCAGGTCTTCCTGATGCCAGGTGTAGTGCTCTATCCACTGTACCACCAGCTGCCAGTTTGACAGAATTAGGTCAAATACTCTTAAAGTACCATACAAACGATCTAAAGGCAGGGTGGTGTGATATACAGTGTGGTGGGCCTGAGGCCAAGAAGACCTGAGGTCAAATATGATCCTCAGACACTTAATAGCTGTGTGACCTTGGGTAAGATACTGATCCTCTATCTGCCTCAATTTCTTCGATTGTAAAATGGGAATAAGAAGAGCACTCACCTCCCAGGGCTGTCATGACAGTAAAATGAGATGTTTGTAAAGCACTTTATAAATCTTAAGGCACTATATGAATACTAGCTGTTATTAACTATTTTATAAGTGTAAAGTGTGGCAATGCAGCCAGATATTGAGTTGTTGTTTTTCTTTTCCTAGAGAATGTCCTCAGTTGGGGGGTCCTCAATCCATACTGTTGGTAGCAATCCTGCCATACATGACCTTTCTCTTCTTCACCTTAGCCTGAACCTTGTTGATCCTAGAGACAAGTCTTTTATAAGGTAAAAAATGCAATTCCAATTTATAAAGGATGCTAGGGTGTTGACAAAATTAATGCTAAAACTTGATCCAGGATGATACTTTTGTTATGAAAACATCAGAGTCCCTTTTGTTAGTAGAGTACTTTTCAATGTCCATTTCTATAAGCTTTCTTTCCTCTGATCCTTACAACTGAGGCAGACAGGCAGGCCAGGTATTAATTCCATTTTTCCACATATGAGGAAATTGAAACTCAGAGAGGTTGTAACTTCTCCAAGGGCATACAGCTAGAATCCATGTTTTCTTCATGATGAGTACTCACAAAAATACCTTGCCTGTCCTTAAACTAGTCCATTTCCCTCTTTCTATTTGGTTGGATGTAGAGCTGAGTTTCTTATTTCAATGACCTGCAGAAAAGCAGATTCATACATTCTTCTCTCCTACAGAGCTGTGCAAAGTATTAAGCTAATATTGCTCGGAAGAAGCTCTATACTCGGTATAGCCATATGGGAAAGAAAGCCCTTCTAGAGACAGAAAACAAAAACTAATCCATTCACAAAAATATTTGGCATCTTTATCCACAAATAGTGAGGATGAATCTGAAGATAATGTCTGTAAATAACACTAATTCATAGAAGAATAAGGTAAATGTGGAGGTTCTATGTTAGGAGAAAATTAGGATGATCAGGCCCTTAATATGAATTAGAGCTCCGTGATTGCTATGTCCAACCCTCTTATTTTACAGATAAGGGAAATTAGGTCCATAGAGCCCCAACTAGTGAGTGTGAAAGCTGGAACTTCCATAAATCCCAGTCTTTTAACTCTCATCCTGGTGCTCTTTTGATTATACCACACTGTTCCCCACTATTCCGTTAACTTCTCAAGAGTAGGGCCATGAGTTCATAAATGCCCACGGCTCCTTCTCATATATTTTCATTAAATAGTCAATATTTAATATATACTAATTGACTTCTGGAGGTCAAAAGGCCCTTAGGAATAAGAATATGGGAAAATGGAAGAACATAATTAACTCCATGAGAACTCCGTTCTATTTGTCCGCTCTGTCCTTAATGACTCTTATGAGGAAATTCAGGTTAACTGAAGGATGGGGGCCAGAGTGCCAATGTTAGAATATATTTTTAAAATTTTTCAATTTTTAAAAAATCCATATTTTTCCACAGTTTGATTTTTTTATATAACCTCTGAATCTGATAGCTGACTTATAAGGCTTCTGAATAGGGAAATGAATCTAGCCAAGGTAAATTTGGCAAGAAGCTGATTTTGTTACAGTGGAGAGGAAGAGGGGTGGGGGTGGCAAGCAATGCTTAAACCTTACTTTCATCAGAATTGGCTCAAAGAGGGAATAATATACATACTCAGTTGGGTATAAAAATCTATCTATAGATAGATATATGTGTACATATATACATATATATGTCTACAAGGAAGTAGGAAAGGAGAGAAATAAGAGAAGAGGGGGAAAAGGCTGATAGGAGGGAGGATGGATTGTGGAAAGCAATGGTCAGAAGAAGCTGATTTTATAGGGAACAGACTCCAAGTAGTGCTTCTTAAACCACAACCCACAGTTTAAGAAGTGCTGAATGGGTCGTGAGTGGAAAAAAGTTTAAGAAGCTCTAGACTACAGAATTCTCTGCTTTTCCAGTGAAAAAAGAAATCATCCTTAATAATTTGTTTGTGGAGTACTATCACTTTCATCAAACAGCTTCAGTGCTTGAATTGTTCAATTTTCATGCTCGTACAAGGTGAGAGTTTTATCAATAGCTCATAATTACCACATACACCATTTTTTCCTATAAACATGGACATTTGGTAATTAGCTTTGTAATTGTACTACAATTTGGAAGTAGAAATGCAAAGACTACAAATACAAATATGTCTTAACCTTGTAAAAATAATAAAATAAAATGTTCATTACTTCGTCGATAATTCAACCTACCTGCAATACTCCCAACACATCTTACTCCTTGGAACTGTCCCATATTCAATCAAGTTGTGCTGTGCCAGCTTTGGGGATTACAGAACTGGGCTATTTGGGTCATAAGATCATAGAGGGGAGAGCTGAAAAGGGTCTTTGGAGGCCAGCTGGTCTAATTAGCTCATTTACAGGTAAGGAAACTGAGGTGAAGCAAGCTGTCCAAGGTCACAGAGTTAAGAGTTTATATTTAAACTCTGGTTCTCTGAGTCTAAATCCAAAGCTCTTTCCTCAGTGTGTGGACACTACACAGAGAGGGTTTGTAGCAGAATAAGGGATGGTAGCATCCTAATGAGATATATGGAAACATATGAGAAAATGAGGAATATGGGATATACAGGAATATGAAGGACCAAGGAGAGTAGTCCACGGGAGTTTGCTGCCCCGGGCACACAGAGGTTAAACAACATGCCCAAGGTCACACAAGTAATGTGGGTTAGAGGTGGGGTTTGAACCTAGGTCTTCCTGACGCTAAGCCCAGCACTCTCTCAACCATGCCAGGCTGTGTCTAGTAAAATACATCAACATGTTAAGTAATCTACACTACTATCAGAGGCAACTAGATGGGTAGAGTGCTGGGCCTGAAGTCCAGAAGATCTTAGTTCAAATCCAGCCTCAGGTACTTAGTAGCTGTGTAACCATGGACAAGTCACCTAACCTCTGTATGCTTCAGTTTTCTCATTTGTAAAATGGGGATGATAATAATAGCACTTCGCTGGAAGGGTTGTTGTGAGGATCAAATGTGATAAAATTTGTAAAGCACTTAGCACAGTGCCTGGCACATAGTAAGTGTTATATGAATATAAGCTATTGTTATGGTTTTCTTTTACCCGAATGAAATAAAAACACTGGGTTCTTTTCTAAGATGTCACTTCCTGGCAGCCAAGTAGGTTCAGAGAAATAGCCTCTTCTTGACGCAGCTAGGTAGTACAGTAGATAAAGCACTAGTCCTGGAGTCAGGAACAACTGAGTTCAAATCTGACCTCAGATGCTAGCTGTGTGACCCTGAGCAAGTCACTTAACCAGTATGCCTCAGTTTCCTTAACTGTAAAATGGGGATCATAATAGCACCTACCTCCTGGGGTTGTTGTGAAGATCATATTAGTTAACATTTGTAAAAAGCTTAGCACAGTGCCTGGCACATAGCAAATGCTTCTTCCCCTTTCTTGTCCCTCTTATCTCTCCCAATGACTGCCATGTGACATATGGATAACTAATGTTTGGGCATCAACTGGAAGTAGCCTCATCTAGTCTTCTGGGTCCTGGCTCCTTTCACCACCTCAGCCTCTTCATAGCTCTTGTCCAGAGTAAACTAGAAACAATTAGGGGATCTCAATCCCACAAGAGAAATTCCTTTAATCCCTTTACAAAGAAACATAATATATTTCAACTTCCCTGGGGATGCAGTAACGTGTAGTGGACCTAGGGTTTCAGTTTTTGGCATGGGTTCTGACACTAATGTGCTATGTGACTTTGGGCTAGATCCTTTACTATTCTGGCCTGATGGCACATCACCTGAAAAACACAGGGGTTAGAGCAGATGATCAAGTCCCTCCCAATTCTAGGATACTATGGCAGGCAGAAGAAAAGTCTGCTTTCTGAGACCTGGGTTAAGATGTCTCCACCCCCTGTGCCATGCAATGCTGTAATCTGGGAAATAAATTGTTCCGTAAATGCAGAGCTATCCTAAGACCACTTACCTTTCAGTATTCTCAATATCCGTGGAAACCTGCCAGGAATGATGCTGAGTGTCTACTGGTGAAGATAGCGTGTCCTCTAAAATGGGGACTTCTGGACCCTCTTCAGTTTTGCATTCTGGGCTCTTGATCCCTGCTCCAGGCTCCTTTCCTAGAGGAGGGAAATGTGAGGAATCATAACTATAAGTTCTATGGAAAGCATTAGTTTCTAAGATGGGCCATACATTTGGTTGAAGATCACTGTGTTGTTATTGTTATTGTTGGTGTTGTTGAGTTGTGTCTGACTCTTTGTGACCCCATTTGGGGTTTCCCTGGCAAAGATACTGGAGTGGTTTGCCATTTCCTTCTCCAACTCATTTTACAGATGAGAAAACTGAGGTTAACAGGGTTAAGTGACTCACCCAGGGTCACACAGCTAGTAAGTGTCTGAGGCTGGATTTGAACTCGAGAAGATGAGTCTTCCTGAATCCAGGCCCAGCATTCTATCCACTGCACCACCTAGCTATACTTATTATTAATTAACTACCTTATTAGCTTTGGTAAACAATTATATTTATATACATATATCTGTATATATTTGCACACATGGACACGTATATATACATATATGTACAATATACACACATATACACACGAGTATATATGTGCATATGTACATGATAACAATATCAAACTCTGTGTGTATATGTATGTATGCATGCATGTATTATTGGATCTGTCTAGAAAGCTTCCAGAGAGTAATTCTCACTATCAATGCAGTATGTAGGTATGTATATAGATATTTCTGTGTATATCTATAACATAAGCATTTATTAAATACCTACAAAGTTCCATGCATTATGCTAGGTCCTGGGGATACAAAGACAAAAATAAATTAGTCCCTGCCCCCAAGAAGCTTACATTCTTCTTGGAGTGGATAAAACATATCCTCAGATAAGTACATACAAGCTCTATACAAAATCAATAATATATAGTTACTTAGGGGAGGTCACTAACAGTTAGGAGAAATTAAAAAAAGGTCTCTTAAAGGAAGTGGCTCTTCAGCTGAGCCTTGAAGAGACCTAGAAGTTCCAAGAGATGGAAATGAAGAGGGAGAGCATTCTAGACCCAGGGACAGCTTGTGCAAATACTTGGAGGCTGGAGATTGCAAGATATGTATGGGAAAGAGCAAGTAGACTAGTTTGACTGGAATGTAAAGTATATGAGGAAGAACGATGTATGATCATTTTAGAAAGCCAGGCTAGAAACAGATTATGAAGGATTTAAAATGTCCAACGGAGGGTTTGTATTTTATCCTACTGCAGAGACATACTGCAGAGACATAAGCTTCTTGAGCAAAGGAATGATATAAAAAATCATATACATACATACCATGTATATATTGTTTTTACATATTTGCATGTAAACATGTAAAATATAGGTGCGTATGCACACACACATATGTACATACATACATACACATAAACACTGCAGTGGTAAAGCAGAGCCAACTTTTGAGAACTGAACAGAGACAATGTAATATCAATATAAACTCAAGACTCAAATATAATTAACAGCTCCCCAGAGAGCGTTGCTGTTTCTCAACTTGGTGTTGATGTGTGAGACCAGGCTTGCTGCTTTGGGAATAGTGATTTATGGCCATCAGACCCAAGTGTATATGAATGGCCCTGAGGCCCAGGCACTATTGCTGCAGGGCAGGAGGATGGACATGAGGGTTCAGTGGGCACAAAGATGCCATGGATTCCTTGAACTTCTCCTCTCCTCAACTGGTTCACCCAACAATAGATGTGCCACTGAACATACATTCTAACTCCCATGTCCTTTGTTATGTTATTTAATCTGCTATGAGCGTTTGTGAAGGTGATCTAAGAAGGGGCAGCATAGCAGGATGAAATGAAGGATGGACAGGGAGTAAGGAGACCACATCTACTCCGGCTCAGCTATTAATTGCCTGTGTGATCTTGGAAGAAATCACTTCATCTCTCTGATTCTCAATTTCCTCATCTGGGAACCGAGAGGGTCATACTAGATCAGAGGTTGGCAAGCTATCACCTGCTGGCCAAATCTAGCTCACTGTTTCTGTACTGCCCCTGGGCTAAGAATTAAAATAAAGTTTTAATAAAATAAAAATTAAAGTTTTATTGTATTTAAAATTAAATTCATCTTATTAAAAATTATATATATATATATGTATGTATGTATGTATATATATATAAAGAGAGAGAGAGAGTATTAAAATAAATTCTTAGCTCTGCAGAAGGTCATAGTTGGCCAGAGTTGGCCAGCCTCTAGACTAGAGGAACTTTAAAGTCCCTGCTCCAACATTCAGCATTTCTTAAACTGGGAAATAAACACTTTATTTCTCCACTTTTTCAACTAGTAGTATCAGTATTGTGTATATATATGACTTCAATAATTCTTCAGGGACTATAGTATAAAAAATATGTCTCAAGGGTAGATTGCAGCTAGAACTTGATTAAATTATTTTTAATTCCATTGCTGCCTTTTGTTTTTACACTGAAATAATTTTCCAATAGGCCTTCCCTACCCCCCTTACCTTGAACCACTCTGTAATAAAAGCATATAGCAAAACAACAGACATGATGACTATATCTGACAATGCAATATTATGTACTTGCAGTCTTCCATATCACTACCAAGAAAGGCAAAGTGTGATTCATCATCTGTTATTCAGGGCCATGAATGGTCATTGCAATTATTGGAATTATGCTTTTTTAAAATCATTGTTCTTTTTTACATTTTTATAGTCATTGTACATATTGTTTCTACTTTTCTCACTCTTTAGGGCGGGTGGTATAGTGAAAAGACTGCCCAACTTGGAGCCAGAACACATAGTTTCAGATCCCAACTTTGCCACTTACTAGCTGTGTGACCTTAAGAAGGTCACTTAATTTTTCTGGGTCTCAGTTTGCTCATCTGTAAAATGAGAGGGTTAGATCAGATCACCTCTAAGGTCCCTCCCTAAATCTATGAGCCAGTGAGCACTGGTTCATATGTCTTTCCATGTTTAAGTAGATTTCTTATAGTCACTATTTCTAATAATATAATGAAATTCATTACATCTCTATAAAACAACTACTTTAGCCTTTTCCCCAAATGATGTGAACTGCTAGACCTTTTTCTTGTTTTAATATAATTACTTCTATTTTTAAAAAAAATTGCCAGATGGAGTAGATATTTTCTAGTTGTAGAGAAGAGGCAAGAAATTTCTCTGAGGCAGCTGAGGTAGAACAAAGTTCTGGATTTAGAGTCAGATACGGATTTCAGTCCTGGTGCTTGGGCTTACTAAGCTGCATGAACTTGGATAAATCACTTAAATGGTGTGAAGTTCCATTTCCACACATACAGAATTATGATTATAATCTCTTCCCTACCTTCAAAATTCAGCTCAGTCACCACCATCCACGAAGCTTTTCCTGCTCCCCCAATCTCAAGTGCCTTCCCGCCCCCCCAATCACCACCTGTACATATCTATATATCACCTTATTAGAATAATTAGCTCATGCGAAGCCTAAGGGCAATATAACAGTCCCTCCTGTCTACATGGTTCCATCCTCTGCTGCTTTGGTGAGCTTATATTAAAAGAAATTCTATTCAAAGAAATTAGAACAACAATCACAGTTACTCGCAGCACCTAGTTAGTATGGAAAATTCCTAACATTTAGGCAGAGATTTGGCACTCTGCTTCAATTTACATTTGTTTTATTTGTATATTTGTTATTCATTTGTTTCATTTGTGTCAGATTTTTCATGACCCCATTTGGGGTTTTCTTGGTGGTTTCTGGAGCAGTTTGCCATTTCCTTCTCCAGCTCATTTTGCAGATGAAGAAACTGAGGCAAATAGGGTTAGGTGACTTGCCCAGGGTCACCCGGTAGGAAGTATCTGAGGCCAGATTTGAACTCTGAAAGATGAATCTTCCTGACTTCTGACCCAGCACTCTATCCAAGGCACCACCCAGCTGCCCTTGTCACAGTGACTATAACATTAAAGCAATGCTAATGTCTGTAGGCTATACAAAATTGCCCTATCACAATCCTCATAGCTAAGAAAAAAACGATGCAGAATTAGGAAACTACAACATGTAAGTAATGCTGAAACAAAGCAAATAAATGCATAACAGGAAAAAAAACAGGAGTGCACAACAATGCAATGTGTCAGTAAACATATGTAATTACATGCAAGGCAAACACTACATGGGCATGCATTGTCATTAAACCTAGGGGAGGATGTAAGGGTAGAGGTTCAGTCTAACTCAAATAAAAACAGATCTTTGTGCACTGCACATTGACTTAGAAAGCCACAAAAAACATTATTTTAATTTATTTTGTTAAATATTTGCCAATTACACTTTAGGCAAATTCCTGCATGGGGCTGTGAATTTGCTACCTCTGGACTCTAGATAATTATCCTACCCCACTTAAAGTAGATAAAAATATGCTGCACTCTGATATATTTATCAGGAAAGATCCCATGTTGATTTTCACAAGGTGTGAACATGAACTAGATATTTCTCTAGCCGCAACAGAAAGTCTGTTCAAATTGGCTGAGGGACTTGGCCACACCCTATGGGGCCTGTATAAAACCATCAAGCTAGCTGGCATAGTGGCATCAAGTGTTTGGCAGTAAAGAGGAGAGACTGTGCCAGGTGAACCCCTGAGAAGGAATCCATTGTGGGGAGGAGCAGAGCCCAAGGAATCTGCCTAAGGTTCTGTCTTCTTCCAATCCCCCTTGGCTGGAGGGGCATCTGAAGGGTGTAGCTTTTACCTTAGCATCCGAGCAATATCCCCAGTGGCTGATGGCCAGCATGGTGGATGTTGGAAACCAAGAATAGACTAGATTCAACCAGGAAAGCAAAAGCAAGGCTGTATAAAGAACCCAGCAGAAAAGCTAAAGGAAAACATTTTGGGAACTCCAGCAAAAGGGGGTCCAGGAGCAGTGAGTTACCCCTTTGTCACTTGTCCTCTTTAAGCTTGAGCCAACTTTCTCCTGGACTCTGCATGTACTGGTGGAAGCAGGTGTCACAGACTTGGGGGAATGTATGTACCACCCGTACCAATAATATCACTGCACTAAATACCCCTTAAAAGTCTGGTTGACTTACTCAAACCAATAAACATAGCAGAAAGCAT